GCTTGGAAGCAGGAGTGGCATCCACTTCCGAAATGGCTTGCCTCCAAAAACTCTTAGAACAGTGCTCAGGTCTTTCATTCATAGGGTTTCTTGAGTTGTCTATGACTCAACAGCATTCAACAACAACAACACTTCTTATGCAACTACTTGTTGCGCATCAGAAAGCTGGACAATGACTAGGGGTGATAAAAAGGGAATTGATGCCTTTGAGTTGGAATGCTGGAGAAGAATATTGAATATACCATGAACTGCAAAGAGAACAAACGGATTCGTCCTAAAGAGGGTAAAAGCAGGCTGCTCCTTGGGCACAAGGATTCTAAGCATCATCTGATGTACTTTGGGCATGCTGTAAGGTGGGATCAGTCCTTGGAGAGGGACATCATGCTGGGGAGGGTAGAGGGACAGCACAGGAGAGGAAGACCCTCGATGAGATAGATGGACTCACTAACTGGGGTAATGGAGTAGGTGTGTGAGAGATGATAAAGTTGGCTCAGGACAGAGCAGAATTCATGGCTGCGATGCATCGCAAGTGACCAGATGGCACAAGACAACAACCACAGTCCTTAATCAGGAGCCCTGCTGGCACAGTGATTACATGTCTGGTTAAGAGCGAAAGGTCAGCATTTTGGGCCTACTCAGTAACTTTACAGAAGAAAAGGTCTGGGTGAGAACCATAAGGCTTACAGCCTAGGAAATCCTACGTGGCCTTGTACTCTATCGTTGTGGTTAAGAGGAGCAGGGATACACTTGGTGGCAAAGCACAATGATCCTTACTAAGAAAAAAGTATAAAGAAAATCGTAGGAATGAAAATCAATTAAGCCTCTACTTCTTGATCCAGAGTTGGATAGTCTGAACTTCTAGTTATCAAGAGTAAATACAGGGCATTACTCTTGACATTTTACAAGAAGGAAAAGTTAGAGTTTTTAACCATACTTACCTGGAGATGTTGAACCTTTTAAATATCCAACAACATTTGAAATTGTTTTGAATTTTGTGACAGTCTCAACTTTCATCTTTACAATTCTTATTTCTGAAAAAAAAATAATAGATTGTTATTTACCTATAATTTATATTTTTTGAAAAATGTAAAATTCATTTATATGATTTCAAAAGCAAAGGCATGTTGAAACATATCCCTAATAGCTAATATAGCTAGTTATAATTTTCTGAAAATACTTATAAAATATTTAGGTGTTTATTACATAATGATGAGGAGGATACTGTAGAATAGTGAAGTAGTTTTGTTGTTGTTGTTGTTATATATGCATCAAGTTGGAATAGATTCATAGCTAACCCCTTCAGCATATTATCAGAAGCAGTAAATCACACAGAAGAAGGTTGCCTACCAATTTTGGTTTTGTGGGTTTGTTTTTTTCCCCATAGAGCAGCTTGGGGATTTGAACCATGGGCTTTTAGGTTTGCAAGAGTTTACCACTAGGCCACTGGATCTCGCTTAAGATGAAATTGCTAGCATCTCAGAACTAGCAATCAAGTGTAAGCTGATTAGCTGTATCTGATTTCACTGACAACCAGCTTGGGAGGGAAGCCTCTTGTGTGGGCAGAGAGGATCTTGCTGAACAGGCCTTTGTATTTAAAAGTCAGTCTGGTCCTGCCTGTGAGTGAGCTTGGGGGAGTTGGATACTGGTGAGTAGGTGTTTGTGATTTTCTGGAAAGCCAATGTTCCACACTGGTTATTAAAAATCAAAACCAAAAAATTCATAACTATTGAATTGGTTCTGATTCCCAGCACCCATGTCGGGTAGTGGAGAACAGCACATATGGCTTCCATGCGTATCTTGCTAGTAGAAGACTTGTGCTTTCCTCCTATGGAGCAGCTGGTAGTTTTGAACTGCTGAGGAAGGAGAATTATGCTTTTGAACTGTGTTGTTGGAAGAAGAGTACTGAATATCCCATGGACGGCCAAAACAACAAGCATATTTGTCTTGGGGAAGGTGTAGCCAGAGTGCTCCTTGGAGGCAGAGATGATAAGACTTCATCTCATATTTTCTGGGCATATTACTGGGAGAAGCTATTCCTTGGAAAGGACCTGTTGCTTGGAAAAGTAGATGATTTTCCAAAAAAGAAGACCTTCAGCCAAATGGATTGACACAATGACTGAAGCAATGAGCTTGAGAATGTCAGAGTCTGTGAGGACAGCACAGAACAGGACAGGGTTCAGATCTGTTGTTCATTGGATTATTATGAGTTGTACTCAATCGATGGCATCTGACAATAACAACTACTCTAGAACATGTTTTCCTCAATTAGCAACATAATCATGATTATATTTTAAATATTATCAAGGAACATCAGTAAAATCTTTGGTGAACCCGCACTCTGATGACATGTCCACTGCTTCTGCCAGTTCTGTTCAAACAAGCCAGTAGGAAGGCAATACTACTCTTCATAGAAATGAATAACAATTTTGCTTTGCAAAAGTCATCATACAAGAACAACTATTTTCAGTAAAATCTATAATCCAAATCTGTAATCTACTGAAAACAATAGAAATATCTCAAAGAAGAAACTTGAAAAAAATTAGGGTAAATTGTGTAGCTTGAAAATAGGGTGGGAATATATAAAAACATGAGTACATTGCAAGTAAAAAGAAGCCAATACGTGATGTATATAACATATATATTGGGGGGAAATGGGTGTGTTTGTGAACAAAATCTGTAATAGAAAGGGTTGGCAGATGAAACTTAACCGAATCAGGCCAGCTGCCTGCCTCTCCCTGCCTCTTCGCAGACCTGTTACAGAGACCAGCAGGAAAGTGTACTCCTCAGTATTTGTGCCTCTGCTGCAAAGCCCCGGGGGGCTGTGAGATTCATAGATAAGGAACTTGCTGCATCTAGGCAACAATGAAGTCCCGAATACGGTATATATTAAAGAAAATTTCAGAAATAAGGATGATTAGAAAAGTTTCAAAGGCACCCAAAGACACATTTACTCTCTCTTTTTTTAAATCAACTTAAATATATATATATAAACCCAGTCTGATTTTTCAGCTTTCCTCTAGTGAAAAGTACTAGGAGAGTAGTCCAGACCTACTTGGACTCCAAGACTAAAATAACTGGAATAGTTGAAGTCTATAATCACCATAAAATAAAATAACTTTACTAAATATATGTTCTTGTTATGTGTTTTCAAGTGACCTGTGATTCACAGTGATCCTATGTACAATAGCTCTGAATCCTGCCCTATCCTGGGCCAATCTCACGGTCTCTGACACACCTACCCCCGTTATGCCAGTTATTGTGTCAATATAGCTCATCTGGGATCTTCTTCTCTGGTGCTGTCCCTCCACCATTCCACATGATGTCTTTCTCTGAAGACTGGTCCTTTCTGGAAACTTTCTCAAAGTATGTCAGAGGTGCTTCAAAATCTTTCCCTCCAAGGAGCAACTTGGTTTCACTCTTTCTAGGACAGAACTGTTTGTTCTCTTGGCAGTTCATGGTATGTTTGATACTCTTGTCTGGTACATAACTCAAAGGCATTGATTCGTCTTCTGCCATTCTTACTTCCTGTGCAGATCCCCAATGTGTAACTGCAAAGACCATGGCCTGGATCAGGCCTTCCTTAGTCTCTAGACTGACATCTCATTCTGGAGAGATCCCTGACAGCAGATTTCCCCAATGCCATTTGTCTTTTGTTTCCTTGACTGCTGGTGCAAAGCGTGTTCATTGTGGAATTAAGAAAGTTTATTTTGTTAACAGTCTCATCCTCCACCCTATTATGGTGCTGCCAAATGGCCCAGTGGTGAGAATCTTTGTTTTCTTGATGTTGAGCTTCAGTACATATTGAAGTCTGCAGTTCCTGACCTTCTGCAGCAAGTGCTTCAGGTCCTCCTCAGTTTTGGCAAGCAGGGTTGTGTCATCTGCTTCACACAGGTTCTTGATTGGTCTTTCTCCAATCCTGATACCAAATTCCTCATCATAAAGTCCAGCCTCCAAAGCAATCTGTTCTGCATCCAGATTGAAAACATATGGAGATCAGATGCATCCCTGATGCACTCTTTCCCTGATCCTGAACCATGCAGTGTTTGCTTGCCCTGTTCTGAAGACTACCTCCTGGTCCAAGCATAGGTTTTGCATAAGCACAATCAGGTGTTCTAGGATTCCCATTCTTCTCAATGTTAGCCACAGTTTGATGTGATTCACACAGTCAAATGCCTTTGCACAATGAAACCCAGAAAGACATTCTTCTAGTATTCTCTGCTTTCAGTCAAGATTCTTCTGACATTTACTATGACGTCTCTAGTGCCATGGCTCTTATAAACAAGTCTTGTATTTATGCTAGTTCTCTGCTGATACACTGTTTGAGTCACCTTTGGATAATCTTCAGCTGGATTTTGGATGTGTGTGATATTAATGATATTGTTTAATAATTTCCACAGTGCATTTGAGTAGTTTTATTTTTTTTTAAATGGGAATAAATGTGAATCACTTTCATTCAATTGGTCAGGTAGTTTTAACATTAAATAATTTAGAACACACAGTACAAGAATTCAATGGAAACATTATAATTAACCTGAAAAAGAGAAGTGAAAGAAGTAACAATATTAAAGCAAACAGATAAAAATATTAAATAATAGGTGTGAAACATTATTATTAGAAGAGATATACCATTAGATAAATAGGTACAACTGTTAAAAAATATATATAAGGTCAGAACTAAAGAATTGAAAGATCAGACTATCAGATTTAGAAATTTTTCCAGCGAATCATAGACTATTAAATTAAAACTAAGGTATACTGGGAATAAAAAGAAATTTTTAAATAAGAAGCCCAGAAAAAGTAGGGCAACCAATGAAGAAGGAATGTCATTGAAAGTATAATAATTTTTTCCAGAAGAAAAGGAGGTGAGAGGAAATACACTTATATGTTATCGTTAAACTTAAAATCATGAAAATCAAAGAAGAAACGTTAAAAACCCCTACGGGGAAATGAGATCACCTACAATGGAGCAAAAATCAAATTGATATCAAATATTTCAAAGACCACAGTAGGGAAAAGAAAGTTACAATAGAAATGAAAATTTTCACCTAGAATGTTTGGTAATAAGGAATTGAGGACAATCTGTCTATCCTTGGATCACAGAAATTTAAAATGAAAACATCAATGGAGATATATGACAAAATGGCAATTGACTGAAAAGAGAGCTCTGGTGGCCTACTGGCAAGAGGTTGCATTGCAACTTCCCGAGGAAAGCAGTTCTAATCCACTGGCTGCTCTGAGGCAGAAAGATGGACAATCTCCTTTCCTCTGATTCAAACTACCTCTGAAAACCCAACAGAAGGTCAGCTATGGGTTCCTTTCAACTAAATGATAATTAACAACAAAAATGTCATAAGGACAAAGAACCACCTACTTAAAGAAAGTTAGTGTAGTTAAAAAAAAAGTCAAAATTTAAGGAAATGGATTACTAGATTTAAGAAGGAAACTTGACCTAATAAATTATTAAACAGTTAAAATTACAAAGAAAATTTACATTTAAAAGCATGTACTAAATCACACAAAGCCCAAATTAGAACTACAAGGTGAAATAGACAAATCTATACATAGGATGTTCTGGTGGCCTCGTGGTAAGAAGCTGCTCTGCAATCCCCACAGCACCAGTTTGAATCCACAAGCTGGTCTGTGGGAGAAGGATGGATGTTCTCCTCCCGTGTAATTAACTGCCTTTGAAAAAAAAGTCTGGAGGATCAGCTATGGGTCATTTCTGGATCAATGATACCAATAACAACAAAAACGACAATACAGCTGACCCTCTGATGGGTTTTCAGGGGCAGTTAATCACATGAGAAGAGACTAGTAGGAGATTTCCACAATGTAACACATTCTGCTAAAACTCAGATAAACAGAACACTATGCTTGACATTACAGAACAGTCCACAGTTTTTCATGAAATACTGGTCATATTCTGTGCCCACAGCACAACCTTGAAGAATTGATGTTGTGTGTAAAGGCAGAAGAAATAGTTACTCAAAAGTAAGTAGGAGTTTCCCTTATAGTCTACTTTGAAAAGAACTACATCACCTTGCAAAAATCATATATGTGACAAAAAACAACAGGAGAAAGAGAGACTACTTGAGACTTGAATGGAACACAGAAGTTAGAGAAGATGGCATGACTGCTGAATCCTAAGCATGTGGAGGGCATAGAAGATTTACCACTAAGGTGCACAAATGCTCAATACATATCTGGGTAATAATAGATAGAACAATAAGGAGAAATACTAGAACGTGAAAAGAGCAGAAGGATAAAAAACCAGGATAGGGAAAAGTTATTGGCAATTTCTAAGTTAGGAAATGAGAATTATCAATCCTTTGTGTAAACTGCGTCATGAAGTTGTAAGATTTATGTTCTAATAAATTTTATCACATATATAAACCTTAAAATTCATATGTAATTTCTATGTTCAACTTTTTGAGGAAGCGCCAACCTGCCTTCCAGAGTGGCTGTATCCTTGTACAATTCCACAACAATGTATAAGAGTTCCTGCCACATCCTCTCCAACATTTATTACTTGCTGTCCTGTTACATTTTGTCACTGCCAGTGGAGTGACATGGTAGCTCATTGTGGTTTTGATTTCCATCTCTCTTATTGCCAGTGATTTCGAGCATCTTCATGTGTCTACTGGCCATTTGAATGTCTTCCTCTGTGAAAAATTCTTTCCATGTCTTTTGTCCATTCTGTAATTGGGTTATCAGTCTTTTTCTTGTGGAGGCCCAGGAGTATTCTATAAATTTTCATTGTAAGACTCTTGTCTGAGATGGTATTCCCAAATGTTTGTTCCCAGTCAGTAGGTTTATGACCCAGATATTCCATTGCTTGGAATATACTCAAGAAAATGAGAACTGAGGCTCAGAGACTTGTACACCAATGTTCATAGCAGTATTCACCATCGCAAGAACATGGAAACAACCCAGATGTCCAACCGCAAATGAATGCATTAAGAAGTTGTGGTACATTCATACAATGGAATACAACCCAGTTCACAGGAGCAATCATTTTGTATATTACTACCTAACTTGGGAGGGACTGGAGCACATTATGCTGAGTGAGCTAACTCAGTCCCACAAGGACAAATACTGTATAAAAGCATATTGTAGAATAAGTATGAGTCTCCAAGGGTGGGGAGGGTGGGAGTAGAGAGGTAAGGATGAGTGGGGGAGGGGGCGGGTAGTGGTGTTAATCACAGGGTTGTAGAATGGATGGGGCGTGAAGGAGATGGGAAGGATCTTTTGTGAAAAACAATGCATTCAAACTTTGTAAATAAATCAGTATAAAATAAGCAAACAAAAACCTCTTTAATTAATGTTCACTTGGAATTTCTAAACAAAATAGTTTGATAAGAATGTAAGAAGTTGGTTAAATTACTGTGAAGTACTGAAAAGCTGGAAAAGGTGTTAAATTTGTTTAAAAGTCTCAGGTTGCCTGTAGGGCATTTTTTTGCCCTTTTTTTTTTTTTTAGCAAGTGCATTCTCTGTTTCTCTCTTATACAACAAGCATGTCCGTGCACACACATACCCTCTGTAGCTTGAATTTGAGCTGAATAGTTTTCTTCCTAAAATCAAATTATAAATCAAAATCAAATTTTCAGAAAGCTGAAAACCTGAGAAGTTCTGCGTGAGTGGCAGATCTGTCTCCCTCAGTAAACCCAACATGCACTTACTCCCCAGGAAACAAAATCAAGTGTACTTTCTGTGGACTTTGGACAATAGGTTTCCCACTTCGGTTCGCTCTGTTCGAGACCCTTGAAGAACAGTTCTTCAAAGTGATTTCGGAAGCTTTTTTTTCCCCCCCTTTTGTCCAAAGACTTTAGACTGGCAGCTCATGAAATCTGATCTGTAGTTCCAAAGATTACTGTTACCAGCTTTCAGCTTAGACTACTAGCTTCACTGTGCAATCGGTGGCTTGAAAAGCTGGGTTTAATGTGACAGAGTTTAACCCATTCACTAAAGTGGACAATTAGATTGACAATGAGACTTTGTAATTATATATAGAGATAGAGATAGAGATAGAGATAGAGACAGAGACAGAGATAGAGATAGAGATAGAGATATATAGATAGTTAATAATAATAATAATAGATAATGATAGATAGATAGATAGATAGATAGATAGATAGATAGATAGAGATAATAGTATCTAAAAAGAGATAGTTTTAGTTCCTTTTTGGCCATCTGGAGACCTTTTATTTCTTTCCCTTGCATTATTGCTCTGGCCAGGATTCCAAAACAGTACGTATAGGAAATGTGATAAGGGCAAACTTGTCGAGCTCCATTCACAACTGGAATGTCTTCACTCTCTCTAGGGAGAATAATGTTGGCCACTGGTTCTGTACGTTTGCTTTTAATTATGTTGAGTGAGCTCCATTAAATTCCTGTTTTGTTTAACATTTTTTCCTGGAAAGATTTCTGAATTTTGTCAAATGTCTTCTTTGTATCACTGATATTCTTTCATGCCATCATGTGATTCTTCCCTTTCATTTTACTGACGTGCCAGATAATACGGATGTTTTCCCTAACCCTGGATTCCAAACATGTGTGCTTTGAATCACACGTGTTTATAATGAATGATACAGTGCTAGATTCTATAGGCTAGACTTCGTGGAGAAATATTTATTACTATATTCATGACGTTCAGTTTTAAGTAACATAGAAATAATCACTATCCACCTGCCCCCAATATGTGCCAGAAAAGAAATTGGTAAAGTGTTAAGTAAGGAAGATACTCAAATCTTGACATAGCATTGCAAGCACATTAAATACTCAGATATGTAATAATACAATAAATATAATAAAGTATTATAATTAAATTAATATAATTAATATAATAGAATTTATATAATTCATATAATCAATAAAATCTGATTCATGAACCAGAGATGGTAGACCGTCCTAGCTTTGTAGAGCCAATTAGAAGTTTCCAGAAAGGCATACCTACATTTACAGCCATGGAGTTAGCGTGTGGCATATAAACTTTCTGAGGCCTGGGCAGTGGAAGCAACACTAAGGGGCTGGATGTTTTATTAAATTGGAATTTATATCTGGTCTTTCACATATTCGTAGCTTTGTTTTGGTTGTTGTTGTGGTGGTGGTTAGGTGTCATCAAGTTGCATTCAACTCACACTGACCAACCCTCTGCACAACTGAACGAAACACTGCCTGAGTCTGTGTCACACTCGCAAACTTTTGTGCCTAAGCCTCTCATTCTAATCACTGTGTCAGTGCACTGCATCAAAGGCTGCCTCTCTTTTGCCGACATTCTGGAAACTCTGTGAACTTGGAGAAAACAGGAAAGTTTTGTGTTCAAGACTTTCGTTCATAGGGTTGCTATGAGTCATTTAACACTCTACGGCACTTAACAAAAACACAACAACAATGTCCTCTGCCAGGGCCAGTCCCTCTTGACTTCATGCCTAAAGTGTGTGAGATAAAGCTTCATTATCCTTGCTTTTAAGGAGCACTCGGGCTACATAACCAAACCAACCAATTTACAGTGATGATCATATATGTTTAACATGTAGCCTGTGACAGACCTTGTTTCACAATTGTCCAGTGTTCGGTCAATAACTAAAGGAGTCACGGTTTGGACTGCCTAGTGATCCAGAACCCTTTCAACCTAGGAAACCCCATGGAGACGTCTTAGATGACTTAGAAGCTACTGGACAATACCTGGCAACAAAGAGAACTTAGTCATTTTGTAAGGCTCATAGTAGCAAACAGAGAAAAAGCAAGGCAGTATAAAAAGCCTTCTGATAGCTCTTTTTCTGTTTACCAATGATTTTGTAAGAAAAATTGTATGACAGTCCTCATTTGATAGTTTGGTAGGTTCTCAATCTATGTAACTTTGCAAAGCATACCATACACCCTTTCTAATTGATGGCAATCTTAAATATATTCAGATTTTTTTCCAGCTGCATCAAAACATATGTTTGCAACGCTTCTGTAGTCAAGAGAAAGACAGCTGAGATAAAACATGGGTAGTTAAGGCCCCAGGACTGGAGACAAAAAGCAGAGCCTTCAAGTTGTACTTCACAGCTACTAGACATAAATTTAACAATATGTAAAGAGCATCTCTCTAATGCTAGGGCTGGAGGCAGGAATCAGATGCGGCCCGTGGCTTTCATCCTGCCACAGGTAGCTTAACTACTTCAGTTTATCCTGCATCTTCCAACAAGGCCTGACAAACTGCACTGCAGTACAAGAAGCATCTCCCGGGTGATGGTGCGTAAAGACAGAGGGATTTTTTAGTCAATTGCAGGAATTAGGCTTTAATGCTTTATACTAAAAGACTTCATACCCCGGATAGCTGTCTGCTATCTGCGGAATCTTGGCAGGCAACGAGACTGCTGAAGCTGAAAGTAGGAAGCTATGTTAAGCAGATTTTCATGAATGTACAAAACACTTTATTTGTAAAGCTACTTTTCTTTGCAGCTCCCCAGCATGACTTTTCCCCTTCTCTAATCTCCCAGTTTGGTCCACTATCAGTCTTCCTCAAAATTCTTTTCAAAAACATCCTTTAAAGGACACAAAAGATAATTCAGTGCTCATATAACAAGAAGTGAGTATTTTTAAAAGAATATTCCTAAACAAGAGAAATTTGGTAGCTGGGTGGTAAGGTGCTTGGTTACCAACCAAAGGCAAGCAGTTCAAAGCCACCCACTGCCCCGTGGGAGAAAGATGGACAATTTAAACCTGCTGGAGGGTCAGCTCTTGGCTGGTTCTGTCTTAACACCACAGAACAACAATCCTAAACACATCTTTTTAAGTATTTAAGATTGATCACTCTCCTAGCAAAAACTACAAGAGACACAGAGATGTGATAAATACTTTACCATTAGTTGGAAGCCTAAGAGGGCTGCAGACATCTTTTTGGGCTCTCTCCTTTGGCAAAGAAATGAGTTTTGCAACGAGAGACGCTGACACAGGCTGCACAAGTAGCGAAGTGAGGTTTGATTGATTTTGTCTAAAGCTTCCATCTGTATTCAGAGGGAAAAAGAATAAAAGTTTTGGTAAATAAAATCTAAAAAACTTGAAGTTCTTTGTGACACATACTTGAATTATGAGTAAAAAGTTTACACTCATTTCCTTGTCACTCTAGTTCATTATAAAAATCCAGCCCAAACACAATAATAAGCCTCTGTTAAAGATGTGTGTGGCATTAACTTTGTTTTCTCACAAAGCTGAACAAAAATGCTAGCAACAAAGGAACGAGAAAGCATACATTGACAGAAACAAAGAAAACAAAAGCGAGTGGGAAGCAGGTGAAGGAATGTCGTTGGACACAGCATCTGAAGGAACTGTGTCAGCAGTGGGAGAGGCTGAGAAAGAATACACTTCGTACCACAGAACCCCAGTAGGGTTCAGAGTTGCCCAAACCAACAACCTATTAAATAGTTGGGTTGAGGGTGGGGTTAGAAAGAGAATTTGATGAAATACTCATCCCATCATGCAGTCATTATGGATAACCCTTTCTCTCTTACCTGTGGAAAGGAGCACAGAGCCTCAGATACAGTGGGATGTAACACTAAACATGGACCAGAGTTATGAAAGTTCACAATCTGCAGATGGTTTTCTCTAGTTGGCTCCCAGACCATTCCTTCAAGGAGGGATCAGAGAAGATTCTCTGCCGCTATAGTGGTCTAGGCTGATTTTGTTGAAATGGCTTTGCCAGCCACTGGCTTTGGGTTTTGCCACAGAGTTGAGTGAGAACACACAGAGCTGGAATCAGAAAATCAAAGTGCCTGAACTCACTCAGCCTTTCTTAAGTTGACAAAATTGAAGAACAAATTCAAGCCTTGAGCTGCAATACTTAATGCTTTGAGAAGAATACTAAATGATCCAGGATGTAATAAAAGAAGATAGAAAGAATATACAGAGTCATTGTACAAAAAAAGTAAATAAATAAGCAAATAAATAAAGGTGGACACTGAAGAATTTCATGAAACAGCTTTATGAACAAGAGCCCATTGTGATGAAAAAGAAGTTCAAGCTGCTCTGAAGGAATTGAAAAAAAAGGGGGGGGGGTGAGGAAGAAAGGCAGGCCCCAGGAATTGATGGCATTCCAATTGATATATTTCAACAAACAGACACTACCCTGGACGTGCTCACCAAGTTGTGCCAAGAAATCTGGAGAACAACCACCTGGCTAACTGACTGGAAGAGATATATATTTGTTCCCATTCCAAAGAAAGGTAATCCGATAGAGTGTGGAAATTATCTGACAGTATCATCAATATTGCATGCAAGCAAGATTTTGCTGAAAATTATCCCAAAAAAATTGGAACAGCACATCAACAGAGAACTGCCAGATATTCAGGCTGGGTTTAGAAGAGGTCTTGATACTAGGGATATTGTAGCTAATGTTAGATGGATCTTGGCTGAAAGCAGAGATTACCAATGGAATTGTCTATCTGTGTTTCATGGACTATGCAAAGATATCTAACTGTGTGAATCACAATAAACTATGGCTAACTCTGAGAAGAATGGGAATCCCAGAATATTTGATTGTGCTTATGTGAAACCCATACTTTGTCTAAGAGACAGTTATCAGAACAGAGCAAGGAAACACTGCAAGGCTCAAAATTGGGACGGGTGTATGCCAGGGTTGGATCCTATCTCCATAACTTTTCAATCTTTATGCAGAACAGATTATCCAGGAGGTTGGGCTCTATGAAGAGAATTGTGGCACCAGGTTTGGAGGTAGACTCATCAACAATATGCATTATGGAGATGACACAAATCCTGCTCATTGAAACTGAGGAGGACCTGAAGTGCTTGCTGCAGAAGGTCAAGGATTGCAGCCTTCAATAATGGATTGAAGCTCAACATCAAGAAAACAAAGATTCTCACTCTGGGCTGATTGGCAGCATCATGATAGGTAATGAAGAGACTGAGACTGTTAACTTCTTTAGTTTGCTTGGCTCCATAATCAACACTCTTGGTACCAGCAGCCATGACTAGGGATGACAGAAGGAGAGTTGATGCCTTTGAGCTGTGGTGCTGGAGAAGAGTACTGAATATACCATGGACTGCTAGGAGAACAAACAGGTTCATCCTAGAGAGGGTGAGACCGCACTGCTCCTTAGAAGAAAGGATTCTGAAGCTTCATCTGACATAATTTGAGCGTGCTGCAAGGAGGAACCTGTTCTTGGTTCTTGATGTCATGCTCAGGAGGGTGGGGGGACAGTGCAGGAGAGGAAGTTCCTCAATGAGGTTTATTGATTCAGTGACTCAGGTAATGGAAGTAGGGGTGTCAGAGGCAATCAGATTGTCAAGGAATAGAGCAGGATTTAGGTCTGTTGTACATAGGGTCGCTATGAGTCACAGGTGACTTGACAGCACATAACAACAACACTACCAGGTTTAAATCAAGAGGTCTGGTGGCAAAAGGCAGGAATCCCACTATCAACAAGAAGGAAGCAGCAGAAAATGCAGTCTGCATCAATTAGGGGCAGAATTTGTTCACAAGTGCTCCCTTATCCAGCTTCTCTAGAGGAAGGATGCGGTGGTTGAGACAGAGCTGTCCTAGGAACCAGAGCCCGGAGACAACATACTCACATATATAACAACATAGCCACAAATAACAACATAGACACATATATAACAGGAAGAGTATTGGAACATTTGGGTCTTTGGGAGTAGGAGAGGAAGAGAACATCTGGGACATTTGGGTCCCAAATGTTCTGGACCCGCTGGAACATTTGAGTCTTTGGGGGTAGGAGAGGAAGAGACACCATAATTAGCCTTACAAAACCAACTTTGTGACACTGACCTAAATTTGAGAGGCTAACGGCCAAAAGAGACTGCAATCACACATGAACAGTTATCCTGATTGAAGGATTGTAATCTGTTAACTTACCTAACAAACCCCATAACCATGAAGTTGTTCTGTGAAATCTGTGTGATCAACAGGTTAGCAAACCCAAGAGGACGCTGAGAGGAATGGCTGGTATTCGAATGGGAGAAGCAGGTTAAGGGGCCACAGGGGAATGGCTGATCCATACAGGTTGGTTTTGTGATGTGGATATTATGGACGAGGCTTGTTTCTCTACATGAAGTTAGTAGAAATCAAATGCACTGATCCTCACACTTCCCCACCTCCATCAACACGTACACACTTCTTAGAAGTATATATGGCACAGATCAGTAGAAAATGAGTGAAAATACTGCAATTTGGAAGTTAAATCATTAAAACAACTCATATAAGATATGTTTGTATCTAACAAATTCCTCTAATACAGAGACATTAAATAAACGTAATATTTTCACTTTGATATATGTGGCTTTTTTCCTTATGTGCCATCGAGTCACCTGCGACTCATAGCAACCCTAAGTGCAACAGCCCTAAACCCTGTCTTATTCTCTGCCAATCTCACTGTCTCTAACACACACATCCCAATTACCCCAGTAACTGACTCAATCCACCTTATCGAGGGTCTTCCTCTCCTGCACTGTCCCTCCACCCTCCCAAGCAAGATGTCCCTCTCCAAGGACTTGTCCCTCCTTGCAACATACACAGAGTATGTCAGACAAAGCTTCAGAATCCTTGCCTCCAAGGAGCAGCCTGGCTTAACCCTCTCCAGGCTGAACCTGTTCATTTTCGTACCCTTAATACTCTTCTCCAACACCACCGCTCAAAGGCATCAATTTTCCTCCTATCCTCCCTAGTCATTATCTAGCTCTCTGACGCACAGCAGGCGATTTTATCAGGCACACCGATATATGGACTTTCAGTAGAAGAAACTCCTAAGTGACAGGTGTGTGTACAACAGATAAAGGTAAAGGGGAGCAGTCTAGGGAAAAGAGGTCCCAGAGAGAGAAGCTCTAGTTGCCTAGTGCTGCAATCTCAAAAGTATGTGGTTCAAATGCACGAGCTGCCACAAGAAAGGCTAGGCAGTCTCTTCCCATGGGATTTACTGCCTCTAATAACCCACTAGGAGGTTTATCTATGGGCTGGTTCTGACTCGATGGCAACAGCAATGATTGTCAAAGAGATAACTGTAATTATTTTCTATGCTATGATTCCAATGGAGATATATTCACAGTTACAGTATTAATAAAAATAATGTTACTTATCTAATGATATCATACATACATACACACACACACACACACACGTTGCTGCTCTTGTTTTGGTTATTATGTGCCATTAAGTTGGATCCAGTTCATAGCTGACCTGCCAATGCCTTTTCAGAGGCTGTGAATTGCATGGAAGAGACTGACCATACTTCTCCCATGGAATAGCTGATAGAGTCTAGCTAACTCTAGGTTGGCTGAACTACAGCTTCCAAATACAAGTCCCATATAATGGGTGCAAAGGGAAAATGAAGAAGTAAAATTGCAAACATGCTAAGAAAAATATGTCTTTGTTGTTGTTGTTGTTATGTGCCGTTGAGTCATCTGTGACTCACAGCGACCCTATGTACAACAGCCCTACACCCTGCTCTATCCTGTGCCAATCTCTGGCATATCCACCCCATTACCCCAGTCCCTGAATCAATCCATTTCACTGAGGGTCTTCCTGTCTTGCACTGTCCCTCCACCCTCCCAAGCATGACGTCCCTCTCCAAGGACTGGTTCCACCTTGTAACATGTCCATAGTATGTCAAATGGAGCTTCAGAATCCTTGCCTCCAAGGAACAGGCCGGCTTCACCCTCTCCGAGATGAACCTGTTTGTTCTCCTAGCAGTCCATGGTATATTCAATACTCTTCTCCAGCCCCACAGCTCAAGGGCATCAATTCTCCTTCTATCCTCCCTAGTAATTGTCCAGCTTTCCAATGCATAACAAGTGATTGCAAAGACCAAGAGTAAATTACAACTAAAAATCACACAAGTGCTTGCTTTTGAGAACTCGTGATAGAGGAGAATGGGCACAGAACAAGTTGGGAGATGGTGATGGATTTTATAAATTAAATTCTGAAGAATTTATTGACTAGTGAAACTGTATTCATCTTTAACTTTGAACAAACACATTA